CCTAATTGTGCTAAGTTTTATAAATTTACCTCAATCAAAATAATAACACCTAATGTCAACTAATCATGAAAATCAATTAGAATATTTGACAGATCTCAACAATATGGATACTAAATAACATTGTTACTAATGCTCCATATATATTTGGCCAGCCATATATTAAAGTTTTCGCTCACATGGTCTCTAATTTTCTCCCTTCTCAGACGGAATAATTTGGAGATTATTATTATTATTCTTATTAGCGCTCATTGGTTTTTTATATGTACTGCTTGGCCCGCCTGTATCCCACCCCAGGTGACATAAATTAAACATGCTTATTTGCCAATAGAAGAATGCAACAAACAAAGGCTTGGGTTCTGCCGACCCAAAAATGATTTCTTTGGGTAATTCACAAGGATTTTTTTTTTCTTTCTTTTTTTTTTTAACAAAAATACATAAATAAATAAAGTGCATCAAATTAAGGTGGTGTCTTGGTGAAGTACCAAGAATTTCAAGAATGTTGGCATCGTTTGCTTCACGGATTCGAGTTGAGATGTAACATTTTAAAATCTTTAACTGTAAAAATTTTAAAATTAAAAATTTAAATCGGTAAAATAAACGAAATTTTTATATATGAATACATATGAATTTGAAGGTGCAACTTGTCTGCACTGAACCTTGCTGATCTTTCTTCAACCATGCCCGCCGCACATACGTTTTGTCCGGATTCTAATTTATTAAGCACGCTGGTGAGTAAGCACTCATATTTTATATCTATTTTTCTATTAACAAGTTAATTTTCAACCACAAAGAAATAAAATTAAAAAAAAAAAGGTTTTTCCACGTGACAAGGGATTTTGTTGGTAAAAGAGTGTGTCTGATTGGACTGCTAGCTCAAGTTTCGTGTTGTGCACAGAGAATTGAATTGAATCCTCTCCTCCTATTATATCGTGGGCTTTAGTCTCCGATAATAAGATGATAATTTAGGGAGCGTTTGATAGAGGGATTTATTCTCTGATTTGAATTATGATTCGTGATTCACTATAGTATTTTTTTTTATAAAAAATATACATAAATAAAAAATAATTTAAATTATATGATTTGAATCCTCCAACCAAACAAACCCTTAGAAAGTCAGAAAGTAACAAATTTGCGGCACTACTTGCACTGAAAATATTACCGAGGCTCCCTATAGGTCACGTGCAATAGGTACAGCTGTAGTGGATATAGCATGCACTTGGGCTCTAGCCAAAAACTTTGCCGGCGGGTTTTTTCTCTAATTTTTAGGGGTAATAATTCGTATCACATGTCGTATTTTAATTATTTTTTTTAAAATTTATAGTCAATTCGAACACGATTCGTGACACGAAATTTTTTAAAAATCACAATACGAACACGAGGTGATCACTTTACGAGTTGACATGATACGACCTGAAACTAACCCGTGACACAAAATTGACCCGTGAATCTGAAATTGACATGAAAATAGTATACTTTTATTTAGTTTTTTCACATATTAGAAATAACTTAAAATTCATAACACACTAAATTACAATAACATCCATTGAAATTAAGCAAATAATAGTATAAGATTTTGAGTATAACTATCATGATATCATAAGTTCATAATAAAATTTAAAATATGAATGAAAAATATATGTATTTTTTAGTTTTTTATGAGTTTCGTGTCTTGTTCGGGTTAGGCGGGTCCAACCCGAAATTGGCCCGTGTTTTTCGTGTCAATTTCAAGTCGATCTAATTTTAACCCGAATCACTTTTTTCTCAACCCTAACCCGCAAAATTCGTGTCGTTTTCGAGTCGTGCCGTGACCCATATTGCCGGTAGTGTATGTATGGACTATATATTGCATGGTAATTGGACTATATGTAATTGCATGATGTTCTTAATTACAAAACAAACGTTTTTATGTTTGTATTTCCTTGTAGCTTGCTTCCACATTCTTATCACGTATTTTTTTTAGTCATTCCTATATATATGGAATTAATCTTTTCTCATTCTACTTAATTATATAAAAAAAAAATCTTTATATTCTCCGGTGGGCCGTTATACATCCTTGGTTGTGATAAATAGAAAAACGACAATATTAAGATCTGCGCAAATGACTAATTACACATAATCAAGATTTCAAATATCAAAACTCTCTTTTCATATGATGCATTCATATAATATATACATAACATATTATAATTAGAACGATATTATATATATATATATACATATATGTTAGTTGTACCCTTGTACGCTTTTCTCCCCATACACTTCCAATATACGAGAAAATAATAGCTAGTATGCCCATAACGCCAATTTCTTAGAGCCCACTATTTCCGAAGGTCATTGGCCATAAATACATAATGATGTACTCTATATATATATATATATAATTCTCCCTCCCATACACAAGAGTCAGGATGCAGCCGAGCCGTCAACGTAAGCACATCTTGTGGCGGGTCCCATCTACATTCAACGGTCAGGATACCACTCAGAACACAACAAGTGCAGTTACCGGAGAGGATGGCATTCTAAGCTTATCCCATTTGCTATGTCGGCGCAACAAGCCACACATAATTAATT